ATTAAAATAATTTTGGAGAATGTCAGAAGTTCAGGCTTCTGTAACTCCCAGAAAAAAAAGGGGGGAGGGCTAAGGTCCACTTTGATGGAATCTTCTGAAAGCAAGAGACTTCCCACCTCTTTCAAGTGGGATCACGGTGCTGGACAGCAGTGTAAGCCATCAAGCATCAACTTTCCTTCTCCAAACAAACTGCTAAAAACGTTGACTCGTAACACGTATGTAAGCCTTTCTAAATACTCTTTTGCTGTGCAAGTTTAAGCAAGAGCACTGAAAATCCCTCATGCTACTTGCCTTATTAGTTTATCTTTCTCATGCAATGACAACTACATAGGAAAGACCTCCTACTACGTTACAGCCCAAAGTTTTCAAGAAGGGTACGTGAAAAGTTCCCCCACCCTTTAACCCCCAAATCATCTGTTTGGAAATAGGATCCACCAGATTTTCAGCTCTCTATGCTATCACCATTCAGGAAGTTCACAAGTCCAAACTTTTAGAAAGTCTACATATTAACCAGCATTACCCTGCTTCTGTAAAACCGATTTTTTACAACATAGGCCATTCATACAAGTGTTAAAATCAACTGTGGTTCTGAGGGAGCCCTCAAGGAGTGATATAATACAAATACAATGCTTTTGTTGAACTGGTTACCTTTTAAACACAAAGGAACATACAAACTCATGTAAATGCACTCACATTTTCATCATTATTGGCCAGTCTTCATCCTGGTTATATGGGTCATGCTTCCACTAAACACCAGCGTATTCAGGTTACCTCTATTCTAACAGACCACTGACCTCATCTTTTGATGGAAAACTTCAGAGCAGCATTAGTTGGTATATACTTACTGACTGTCCTTTCTTGTGTTTACGCCTATACAAAACAGTCCAGTTGATTTGACGGGGGTTTCTCTTGGAAAGGAATGCAGACTCACATTTTGCATTCAAGAACTGAAAAACCTGGGAAGATGAAGTATTTCACGTAAGCTTTGTTTCTATGAAAGACATTATCACAGTTTACATTAACATATCAAGTAATTCTTTGATTCAGTGTTTTTCAACAGTTATGCTTTTCTATTTCTTTTTACAGCTCTGACAATCCCAAAATTTTAGAACATAATTTGAAAAAACTCAAACTTTGGAATTTTGTTCCATCAATTAAACTGATCTCTTACAAGGCATGCCATTATAAGGAATTTTCCAGGCCTAATTTAGTTCTCTCAGAATAAAGCCTAATGTTACAGCTTTTGTTTTCGTAACACAATGAAGCAGCTTATTTTTTCTGAGAAAACCTCAAACTACCACTTGCACCCATTGCTGCACTGAATTCTAGGCGCAGCACGAACAGCCGTGTCCAGCATCATACTTTTCAAGTGTCTGTCCTCAAGTAACTATGTGCTTCCTGTATGTGTAAGCGATTCAGAACTTGGCATAAGGAACACACGGAGACCAATACTCCACCCAATTCCTTCTTGCATAGTTACACTAACCTTCTTGCCTAGAATAACAGGCAGAATTAGCAGGCTGATTTATTATTAGCCATACAAGTAAATCTGAAGTATAAACAAATTCCCAGGAGAGCACCTGAGCATTCAATCAGTCCATTTACTTAGCTATCATTTCCCAGGAGATTCTGTACAGCAAGACTACGTACTGGGGTATCCAAAACCCAAGTCCTCCTTTTGCAGATATGAATAGCGTATTTCTGTTTATGACAGCCCTACCTGCATGACATATGACAGCCTGAATGGGCTCTCCTCCCTATTTTATCCCAATCATCCATTCCCAAAGTATTTGCAAGTCCAGTTGTTTGCCTCGGCAACTCTAAGCATTAGATGCAGAATGTCTAAATAGCATTTTCGACAGAACTTTGGTACTTTAGACCAGATACCTTAAGACAGCCTGCCCAAACCACAACCTAAAACCCGACTCAAACGCCCGAGCTACAGCACACACAAGGTTCTGCCGCGGACCAGGTCTGACGTTAGTCATGACATCTAGACACCGACGGAAGCACGGCGATGCTGTTCTCATACCGCCCAACACGAGCGGTTCAGGCAGACGCTAAAGCAACGCCACCGGAGACCCCGGGAGACACCGAGCTCCCCACCGCGCGTCCGGTGAGAGGCCTTCGCTTCCCCCAGCACCGCGCCGGCCTCTCCCTCAGGCCTACCGCCCTCCCCCTTCTGCAGGGCCCGCTCCCGCTAGTCCCTGCCGCCCGGCACCGCAGTTACCCCCTCCCCGCGGGGCTCGCCCTGGCCGCTCCCCCCCCACCCCCGC